ATTAATTAATTAAATAATTAACGAAAAATTCAATCCGGAATAACCCATGACCCGCGACCCGGTGTCAGGCCCGTTTTCTTTCGCGGATTATTTTAAATATATTTTTCCCGTAATATTTCAAACACCTCTTTTCCAACAGCCATGGCTGTTTCTGAAAGGTTGCAACCCGTTTCAGAAACAATGCCAGCAACTCTATAAATAGAGTATGAATCTCAGAATCTTTCCTTACGAAATTTTCTGAGCTTCTTCTTCTTCTTCTTCTTCTGCACAATATTTTCCAGTGTGTTTTACGACCATTGAGTGGTTCGCAGTTCATCAGAGTTTTTGGTACCAATACACTGGTGAGTTTAATCGTTCTATCCTGGGAGGATATATTCCAGCACCTCGGGTATTTGAGGGGAATAATTTCTTAAGGACACACTGTATATTCAGTGGGCTCGATTTATTCCTATACTGTTTTTTCAGAATTTATTTCGTTAAACAAGTATTACTAACTTTCTGTTTTGTTTTTCCAGAAAGTTTAATTGTTTATTACAGCAATACAGAAGTTATAACAATTTTTTCATCGCTTTCTCATTCAATTCTCCTTTGAGTATCATATGGCCGTAAAGGAATACTGTTGTTCTTGTTAATTGATAAGATTCATTTTTGCAAGAAAGTTACCATTTAATTCAAAGGAGGTAATGCATCATTATAAGAGTTAATATTTAATTAAATATTTCATATTAAAATCTGTTTGTTCCTTGTTTCTATTACCTTTTCTTCGAAGTCTAATTACTTGGACGATTGAATGCTACTATAATCCTTATTAAAAAAATCCTACTATAATAGAGAACAAAGACTGGCAATATTCTCGATAAAGAAAAACTAAACACAAAAATCTAAATAGAGGGCTCTCTTATACAGAAACCAGTAACAAATTCTATGGTCTGCAACAATATAAACTTTCACAATTCTATCCTAGACATACTATCACCATGCATTAAACATCTACTATAATCAAAAGTAGGACAGTAGCGAACTTCAAGATTATTTAAGCTTATAGTAGATGAGACATCGCATCTCCTAAACTTCATACCAATTTCAGAACATAGATTTTTTCCCTTCTAAAAAATAAAATATAATAATTATTGATAACACAGTACTTGCTCCACTAAATAACTATATATTTTTTTTATATAACTATATTTGAAAAGTGATGAAATGGTCCTAAGGTTCACTGCTTTTCTGGATGATGGGACAGGAGGAAAAGGAAACTTAAAATAATATTGTATCTTTAATAAAAAAGTAATGTTCTAATAGAGATGTAGCTATATTATAGCAGAAGTTTTCACCTTCTCTTTCCCACTCATTCTTTTTTCTCCCCTAATTTTGTGCAATAAACCTATCAATGTAATTGTTTCTACAATCTATTATCTATAAATCTTTGGTTCATGGATTTACCTACAGACCCCTTGTATGATTAATGGACTAAACTTGTAACAGTAGTTACTATTAAATTGGTCAAGCGGATGTGGACTTTTCAGTTAGATCAGGCATAACTAAATCTCTTGCTATGTCTTAAAGATTTGGCTCCATATGAATTGTGCGTCACATTTCAAAACTCTGACGCTATGCAAGTATTTTTCAGATTGAAAAAAAAATTAGACAGAAGCATAGATGAAGGAAATTGAAATTGATGTATACATACATGGTGTTTTGTGGCAGTGTTGTTGAGTACATCCAATATGTACTTCTTGGCCTTCGAATTCTTGCCTAAAAATGAACTGTCCAATTTCTTGATTAATATAAACTCAATCTTCAATTCTTCTAGCGTACCCATGACCAGCTAAAACGATTGCATGCTGCTTCTTTATACCTAAATCAATTGACCAGATCATGTGTTATAAAGGAAATACCAATATCATAAGAAACATGTGACAAGACACAAAATGTAGAAAACACACAATTAGTATAAGAGAAATAGGAAAAGCAAGGTCCGATGACGAAGACCGAAGATCCACAGAGAACATTAGGAACCTTACACCTCAAAAAGTAGCCAAACCAGCACAGAATATTGAAGACAGGTTTAATAGCTCATGAGAATCTTCCACGAGATTTTGAAACAGAAACGAAAATCAAAGTGCTGAACCTCAAGGGTGAAAAGCTGAGGGCAATGATAGGGAGCCGTGTTTTGTCCTCTTTTCTTTCATTACTGAAGGCTGTTGCGGAATTTCCTAAGCATTTGGCTTTTGAGAACTAATTTTGCACATGCATGTTTTGTGCCAATTTAAGGCAGTCAATGGTATTAAGAAGAATCTATGAGATTAGAGAAAGACTCTATGAACAAAATTTCCAAAGATCAGCAATAAACATATGTTCTGTAAAGGAAAAAAAATAGGGTTTGATTGATTTAGTAGTTTTACCAGTCTTCTATTATAACCTTCTGGCGTCTTTTTTTCCTTTTCTATGTGCTTCTTAATGATTTTCTGAGACTCCTAAATCTGAACATAATGAAATATGGTGTGTTGTTGCTTTGGTGCCTTTTAAGTGTTTTATGAAACTTTTGCAGTCTTCTACATATAATCTCTTCCATCTAATGTTATCCTGACAAGCCTAAAATAGCTTTGAATATAGTGGGTGCCTTCTGTGAATTCTTTCTGTTACAGGAGATATATTGAACTGGTTAAAATATTCCTTAAGCAGATCACCTCTGTGCCAAACATTGTGTATGAAAACATGAAAGTAATTGCATATTGAACTTAACTGTCCAAACTCGAAGGTTTATATCTCACTATCTGTCATCCTGACTAATATCAAAATGACATGCAAAGGATCCAATTGTAACAGCTTTGAGATGCCTGTATGGTGCATCTGAACCAAAGACTTTTTCAGGTAACAGATTCTGCCTTTAAATATTTTTACCGCTAGTCACACCTCCTAACCTAAGGAAATAGAAGAACAGAAAAAGTCAGAGCTCGTTTTCGCTTGGGCAGAACTCTATTCCAGTTGCAATAACAGTAAAGGGCCCAAGAAAAAATTAGATAGAAAAACTGTTAAATAATATAAGGACATATTAGTAATTGTCTAATAAGTTAGTTGTTAGGTTAGTAGGCAAATTAACTAAGTATAAAAGGGCCATCATGTACTCAGAATAAAATAATCTCAAATAATACTCTTTCTCTCTATCATCTCTGTACTCTTTCTTCTTCCTCAATTATCAACTTGGTATCAGATATTTTGCTCGTGAAATTGAAGCTCTAGATCTGAAAATTTTCTCCCGCAATCATTCTTCTCTGAAATTTACTTGGTGAAATTTTGTTCTGTCTAAATTCCTCACAGCTGGGTGTTAAATCATTGAGAAAGAAACAAGAAAAGCGAAAATGGGGACAACTGAAGAAACTCCAAATCTCAATTCCGGACTCAATTCTAGAAATCAGATGAATCAAGTGACAGGGATCGATTATAATCATCCACTGTTGCCCTCACCTGCAGATGTTAGCGGAATTCAAATCATCTCATTTCAGCTAACAGGTATTGAAAATTAGTCTATTTGGAATAGGTCTATGCGGGTTGCTCTGTTGGGTAGGAATAAATTAGGTATGGTTGATGGTACATGCAGTAAAAATAGATTCCCAGATTCTATGGAAAATCATTGGGAAAGAGTAAATGCCATTGTTCTATCTTGACTTATGAATTCAGTGGCCAAAGGTTTTCTTGGAGGAATTATGTATGCCTCTAGTGCACAAACAGTTTGGGAAGACTTAGCCGAGAGATTTAATAAAGTTGATGGCTCAAGAACTTTTAATTTGCATAAAGAAATAGCCACATTAACTCAAGGCTCTGCATCTCTCTCGGTTTATTTTTCAAAACTTAAAGCTCTTTGGGAGGAATTTGAAGCTTTAGTCCCCGCACCTGGGTACGATTGTCCCAAATCAAGAGATTTTGTTAACTATCTACTGAAGTTGAGGTTGTACCAGTTTTTAATGGGGTTAAATGATTCTTATTCACAAGCAAGAAGCCAAATCCTAATGAAGTCACCTCTATCTACTGTGAATCAGGCCTATACCTTGATAGTGAGTGATGAAAGTCAAATGTCTATAGCAGCCAATTCAGAAATTCTTGGAGCCAATCCTGTAGGAAACTTTGAAGTTGCTATGTATAACAGAAATGGTGGAGGTGGACAAAATCAAAGGTTCAAGAAGAACTTTAATATTCAATGTGAATACTGCAAATTGAAAGGCCATACAAAAGAAAACTGTTATAAACTTGTAGGGTATCCTCAAGATTTCAGACAGAAGAAAAGAGGGTATAATGCTGCTCACAATGCTAATATTCTGACTGAGAATTATAACAACCAGAATCAAAACCCTACAGAACCTACATTTACATATGGTCAGAATACTAATGTCATAAACCAGTCTGCTTGTGGAAATCAAGTATCCTATAATCAAGGACTGGAAGCAGTTGCAAGCCAATTGGGAAATTATACATTCACAAAGAACCAATATGATCAGATTGTTCAGTTGTTGAAAAAAGGAGGAATCTCAACAATCACCAACAATAAAGATTCAGCTGCAAATGTAACAGGTACTGATACAGCATTATTGGTTTCAAATGGTTCACATGAATGGATTATAGACACTGGTGCAACCAACCATATGGTATCTGATACTAACCTTCTGAATAAGTCTACAATAATTCAGATAGTCGATCCTAAGAAGGTTATGTTACCCAATGGTGATGTGTCTCTAGTCACACACACAGGGGCAGGTTCAATTTTCGACAAAACCACTATAACTAATGTATTTCATGTGCCTCAATTTAAGTACAATCTTCTTTCAGTTTCAAAAATGACTAAAGAACTTCAATGTGCTGCAACATTCTTCCCTGACTTTTGTGTTTTTCAGGATCTCTTCACTGGGAAGGTGAGAGAGATTGGTAAAGAAGAAAGAGGATTGTACATACTATTAGCTCGACTGGCAAGGAATAAGCAAAATGTTGTGTATGCTGCAAAAGGATTGACTGCAAGTGAAGTAAGTCAGATCAATGTGTAGTTATGGCATCAAAGATTTGGACATGTGTCTGTTTTAGTGCTTAAGAAAATACTGCCTATTAATGTACAGAATATGAGAGATAAAGTAGATAAATGCACAATTTGTCCTTGTGCTAAACAAACTAGATTGCAGTTTCCTTCTAGTGATATCAGAAGTGTATGCTGTTTTGATTTGAATCATGTAGACCTATGGGTCTTTATAGAGTAGCTACTTTTGATGGCAACAAGTACTTTCTAACAGTTGTAGATGATTACAGTAGAATGACATGGGTATTTCTACTTAAACAGAAATCAGATGTACATCAGTGTTTACAATATTTCTTCAGCTATGTCAAGACTCAATTTAATAAGGTGATCAAGATTATTAGAACAGACAATGGCACAGAGTTTGTAAATTCTCTTTGTGAACAATTGTTCAAGAATCTTGGGATTATTCATCAAAGAACTTGTGCTTACACCCCTCAACAGAATGGGGTTGTAAAAAGAAAGCATAGACATATTTTAGAAGTAACAAGAGTTATAAGGCTGCAATCTCATATCCCTATTAGGTTCTGGGGTCACTGCATCCTGGCTGCAGTATATATAATTAACAGGTTACCTAGCTTAGTAATTGCAAATATATCTCCTTATGAAAGGCTACATAATAGAAAACCATCTTTAAGTTACTTAAGAGTGCTAGGCTGCCTGTGTTTTGCAAAAGTAATTCAGGAACATGACAAGCTAATGTCTAGATCAAAAGTGTCTGTGTATATGGGATACTCGGAAGTTCACAAAGGCTATATATTATATGATCTAGATAATAGATCCTTCTTCATCAACAAAGATGTAATATTCAAAGAAAACATCTTTCCATTTAGAAGAACAACTTCCACCTCAACACCTGTGTTTATAGACACTACACCAACTGTAGGTTCATATATGGACAGTCCAGAAATTCTTTTTGAGACTATCTAAGATCAGCAGACTAACACACAAACTAATGTAGACTACAGTAATGACAATACAGGTAGTCCATCTATAACAGCTGATACTACAACAGAAAGTTATAATCCTCAATCAGTTCATGATCTCCAAAACCACAGTATGACTGAGGGGGAGCCACAAGTACAACAAAACAATCAAAGCGTATCTACTAGAGCTCATACCAGAAATCAAGCCAACTCAGACCAACCTACAGTTAGGAAGTCCAACAGAGATAAACATCCACCAGTATGGTTGAAGGACTTTGTGTCCTTGAATATTCATCAAGAGATACCTTATGCCTTAAATAAGTACATAAGATATGATCATTTATCTCCTAAACATCAAGCTTTTACTGTTGCCTTCTCACCAACTACTGAACCCACTATATACACTGAAGCAAATAAAGATCCAAGATGGATACAAGCTATGGAAGAAGAAATAAAAGCATTAGAAGGTAATAGTACATGGACATTAGTCACATTACCTGAGGGAAAGAAACCTATAGGATGCAAGTGAATATATAAAATTAAGTACAAGGCATCGGGAGAGATAGAGAGGTTTAAGGCTAGGCTAGTAGCAAAAGGATATAGCCAACAAGAGGGTATTGACTATCAAGAAATATTTTTACCAGTGGTGAAAATGGTAATTGTTAGAACCATATTAGCACTGGCAGCAGCCAAGCAATGGCATATACACCAAATGGATGTATACAATGCCTTTCTACAAGGTAATCTATTTGATAAAATCTACATGGATTTACCACAAGGATTTAGAGGTCAGGGGGAGAAGAAAGTATGCAGACTCACTAAATCCTTGCATGGGCTAAAACAAGACCCAAGGCAATGGAACTTAAAACTATCTGAAGCTCTTCTGAAATTACAGTTCAAACAAAGTCAATTTGATCATTCTTTATATATAAGAAAGACAGATGAAGGTATGGTTTTGGTGCTGATCTATGTTAATGATATGTTAGTTACAGGAAGCAATTTAAAGCTGATTCAAGACACTAAAACTTCCCTACAAAATATCTTCAAGATGAAGGATTTAGGAGAGTTAAGATATTTTTTGGGACTAGAGTTTGCTAGATCCAGTAAAGGGATCGTTATGCATCAGAGAAAATATACTTTAGAACTTATAGCAGAAGTTGGACTAACTGCAGCTAAACCATCGACTACACCAATTGATACCAATGTTAAGCTCACATCTAAACAGTATGATGGGCACACTTCAAAGAATGACAGATCAGTTGAAGACTCTCTAGAATAGATCAGACAACTTATCAAAGGTTAATAGGTAAACTCTTATACCTAACTGTTACTAGACCAGACATAGCTTATGGAGTTCAAACTCCAAGTCAAATCCTTCAGCAACCAAAGAAATCTCATATGGAAGTTGCCTTAAGAATTGTGAAACTTGTGAAGAACAATCCAGGTCAAGGTATATTGTTATCAAGTCAACATAGCAAAATTGTCACAGCATATTATGATGCACACTGGGCAGCTTGCCCAGTCACTAGGAGATCTGTTACAAGATTTTTGATCAAGGTGGGCAATTCTCTAGTTTCTTGAAAGTCCAAAAAGCAAACTACTATATCAAGAAGTTCTGCATAAGCAGAATACAGAAGCTTAGCTGCAACAGTAGCAGAGCTGACATGGCTACTGGGAGTGTTGAAAGAAGTTGATGCAGAAGCTAAACTGCCAGTAGACATTTTCTCTGATAGCAAAGCAACCATTCAAATTGCTATCAACCCAGTCTATTATGAGAGAACCAAGCATATAGAGATCGGTTGTCACTTCATAAGGGAACAAATTCAACAAGGACTGGTCTGCACAAAGTACATACCTACCAATGATCAACCTGCAGATTTGCTCACAAAAGGATTGAGTAAAGTTCACCATGCATATTTGAGTTCCAAGTTAGGTGTTTTGACATCTTTACAATACCTAACTTGAGGGAGAGTGTTAAATAATATAAGGACATATTAGTAATTGTTAAATAAGTTAGTTGTTAGGTTAGTAGTTAAATTAACTATGTATAAAGGGGCCATCGTGTACTCAGATAATACTCTCTCTCTCTATTATCTCTGGGCTCTTTCTTCTTCCTCAATTATCAACAAAAACAATCACCAGTGACAGCTTATTGACCATCTCGACTGTAATACCATGACAAATTTACCTTACCAATAATAACACATCCAATTGGACTAACAAGTAAAATACAAAACTCTAACATTGCTTCATGCCATCAGTAAATATTTTTACATTTGTATAAAATTAATGATAAATTTCCTCCAATTCACTTGAATGTACAACTTTGCATCGTTGAAGGCAGTCCTAATTTACTCGCGAATATCAAAAGAGAAACAAAATAGATACTTAACAAATAGTTTAGTTGTTTTAGGCATATCACCGAAAATATTCATCATATTGGGTAAAGAATGAAAAATAACCGGAAAATAACCCCTTGAGAAAGAAATTATCACTAACTACGAAATATAACATTTACATACATACAACATTATGAAAGAGTGCTTACAAATAGTATTTAAAGTAGCAAAGACCCATATTCCATCAGCAAACTGAATACTACAAATTTCTGCATAAACAAATGGATTTGGAGTAACTAATTAGCGTCAAAAGTGAGAAAGACATCAACCACCGGGATTATATAATTATATGCACCCAATAGAATTACTAACATGCATGTAAACAAATTATCAAGAAATTATGCCGAAGAGTAGGAAAACTAAAGATTGAAGTAAAAATGATTAAACTTTCACAAGGATCCGAAAGTGTTGGGCACAAATCAAGGAAAGAAACGAAAAGTCAGGGGAAAACTTACCAGAAGTAGCCAGTGAAATAGAAGCTAGAAAATTAGAAATCACAATGTATACGGTCGAAATCGGGCACGTCAGATTTCGTAGACACGAGGAGCTACCTCGAGAGTAAGCTCGTAATAAACCAGGCGAGCTCAATGGCAAAGTACGGAGCACGAAGATCGAAGTGCTCGTTGAAGATCAAGACCGAGCATGACCGACTTCGAGTAAGGCATAATAACGGAATGGGGATATATTAGCAACCGACCGAAGATCTCGGTGGAAATCTCAAAACAGATCAAATCAAGCGGTTATTGACGTCAATTATGGAAATTGTTTTTATGATTAGAATTGTACCTTATTTAGGATTCCTCTGCTATATAAAGAGGGACCCTATTCATTTGTAAGGGGCATTGATTCACTAATAAAAATATACAAAAATGATGCTCTCTATTTTACTTACTATACATTACTGTTCATTATTGTTCTTTACTCTTCTTCTTACCCAACCTCGAGACCATCTCGAATAGAGGTCGAAAGCGCTACTAGAACATTGGTTTGATTTATTTTACTATTCAGATTATCTATTTCAATTCCTTGTTTGTCATGGTATTGGATTAAATCACATATACTTAAAATCACTAAACAAGTTTAATTGTTACTCGAATTTTAGGGTAAACAGTTTGGCGCCTATCGTGGGACTAAGGATAATAGTGATTGTTCAGTATTGATTCTGGTAAAACACACTATTTTACGCTTGTTCTTGTTGAGTGCCTTTGCTTTCAGGTTAAAACATGTCAAACTCACAAAATGCATCCACACACGGTAACAATGGCCTCGGATTTCATTATGAAAACGAAAATGGAATCGCTCCAGGAATCGAGGTGCCACAGGCTAATCTTGGGGCAGCACCGGTTGCCAACCCAATCGATATCAGTTGGCACGTTGCTCTAAACGTGGTCCTAGGCACAGATCTCGATGGGAGTGTACACAGAGAAGGCCGATCTCGTGGTCAAGGAACATAGGGCAGAGGAGACGAAGGAGTCAGTATCCAATTGATATTCGAGATGCTTCAGTCTTAGCAAGCCACTATTGCTCAGTTACAAAATCAACATAGAGCTCCGAATAGGGTCGAGCCGGAAATTACTTATCGTACCGAGCCAGTACCAGAAAGATCGAATTGTAACAAATCAGAGACTAATCCTGCAGTAATGAAAATGCTTGAGGAGATCACCAAAAGAATTGAATCAGGGGAGAAGAGAATCGAAGCCAACGATAAAAAAGTGGAGACATACAACTCTCGAGTTGATCAGATACCAGGGGCATCGCCAATCTTGAGAGGGATGGATTCGAAGAAGTTTGTACAAAAGTCGTTTCCTCCAAGTGAGGCTCCGAAGCCTATTCCAAAGAAGTTTCATATGCCAGACATACCCAAATACAATGGGATCACCGATCCCAACGAGCATGTTACTTCATAGACATGCGCCATTAAGGGTAACAATTTAGAGGATGATGAAATCGAAT